GTTGTATACACGGAAGTAAAACATTGAAAGATACCAAGAATTGTTTTTGGGGGTATCATCAGGTGACTAGTGAGAAACATGATGGCACCTTACCCTTGGTAAGGGGCATACATTATATACCGATAACTGGTACACAAGCCCATTACTCAGTGATTTCATGCGATTTGAACAAGACAGATTGTTGTGGCACAGTGCGTTCTAATCAAAAACATATGCCCAGGCTCAACGAGGTGCTCGTGGTGATGACGTGCAGGTGTTTACTGCCAATAAACATCATGGCTTACGGTGGCATGACAAACGAGATGTCACATTGTTGACAACCAATTCACCGTAATGAAATGCAAGACAGTGGCAAATTGATCGAGTGACTAATGAACGTATTCGAAAACCAGTCACAGTGATTGATTATACCAAAACATGCGCTTTGGTTGACAAATGTGACATGCAGATTTTGGTTTTGTTGATTGTGTTCGTAAGAGTTACTTACAAGTGGTACATGAAACTTTTTTTTTCCATCTCAAGGACATTTTCAATGCTCAAATGCAAATAATATGTACCAAAATAAAGATGGCAACAGACCACCGTTGGTGAATTTTGTTTGTCGTTGTCAGACAACTCAAAATGAAGTACCAGGTAAGAACACCTGCTAAAACAACAAGGTCTCGAATTCCTCAGGTTTAAAACCCAAGCATTTGAGGAGGAAGGTGATCATTCATAATACAGCTTCCTTCAACTCAAAAAATTTGCTCAGAAAAATTTGTGCACATCGTCTGTGCACAAACAAAAACGACGGCAACAAAGACGCAAAGACACTCGGTTTATGTGTGAGGAATGTAAGGTCTTCTGTGCATGGTGCCCTGTTTCAAGGAGTTCCACAAGCTCCAGCATTTTCTAAAACCATGTCCAGTGATTGTAAATATGTAAATATATGATAGAACATTAGATTATACAAGATTTGTGCATGTTTATTGTAATAAAAAAACAGTGGTAAACAATAATATGATAATAACTTTAGGGGCGGTTTTTGTGTTCAATACAGTATTTATATATATACATTATATACAGTATTGGTCTCTCAGGCCCCAAATGTTAGTGGGAAAAAAAAAAAAATTGGAAAAAAAAAGAAAAAACTATAAAAAAACCGCAAAATAAAGTAATGCGCGTATGGGAATTCGTCGATGTTGCCGCCACATCATTTGGACAAACTTCTTGGCACTGTATCTCGGTAAGTACTAAATCAGAATTTTTTTTTTTGTCTTATTACCTTCCCCAAAAATATGCCCTTTTAATTCTGTAAGAAAAACAATTTTTTTTTTTTTTTTTAAAAATTTCTTGGACACTGGAGCACCACTTCAGATTTTGGCTTTGGACCCTGAAGGGGTTTAAAGGATCCCACTGGAATATGACAGACAATTTGATAACATGTAAATAAGTAAGTTTTATTTAAGTACATGTACACAAGTACAAGTATCATATGTAGTTTTAACATTGTATTACTGCATTTGTATTACTGCAAAAAAAAAATATGTTTAAATTACCTAGGAAAACCTCCCAAAAAGTCAAAATGACTCATCAGGTTACCTAAGCAAGAAAGTCTTTATGCCTCCAGGTTAATAATCCTAACAAAATATTCAACTAGCATTACTTATAATTAAATAAAGCACTAAACCGACAGAGGGCCATGAAACTCAACTAGCATTAAACCTAGTTTAAATTTGCCTGACACTACAAACTACAGACTTTACGCTAATTATATTGTTTTTGTGATCAGATTTCTTAAAAAAGAAAAAAATAACCTCCCCTTGCTTAACTTTCTGGGTTATCCTTTCTTTTAAATTTAAAATCGCCGCTGCAATGGAAATAGTAAATCACTCTTGACTTTTTTTGGGGTTATTCTAGGTTCTCTACACACATACTGATATGTATGATGATCTATGTAACTATTTGTGTATACCTGAATAAACTTACTTACTTTACTTACTTTTTACTTACTTTACTCACTTACCGCCTGAGCACTAGTTTGTGACCCCGGGTGCTCACCCTCTGAGCTTCTTTAATAATCTTGTAAAGTAAAAGGACACAAGTGCAACTAATGTGACATTTATTGTGGCAATGTTTCGCTCTCCAGGAGCTTTATCAAGCCATTACAAACAATACATGGACACAGAGGGTATATAAAGGCTCAGAGTGAGGTGCAATACTAGTGAGGTAACATTTCGATGTTCACTAGTTGGTGGTGGTAGTGGTGGTGGTGGTGGTGGGGGGTTTGTGGTAGGGGGTTTGGGGGTAGTAGTAGTAGTAGTAGTAGTAGTAGTAGTAGTAGTAAGTAGTAGTAGTATTATATAGTAGTAGTAGTATTAGGTATAGTAGTAGTAGTAGTAGTAAGTAGTAGTAGTAGTTAGTAGTATTAGTAGTAGTAGTAGTAGTATATTTAGTAGTATAGTAGTATGTAGTATGTAGTAGTAGTAGTAGTGACAAAAGTAATACAATATGATAGAGCAATTAATTCGTACAAGAGTAAAAGGATAAAAAAGCTATTACCCAAGTAATAGTTATAATGTTACCTCACTAGTATTGCACCTCACTCTGACCCTTTTATATCCCCTCTGTGTCCATGTATTGTTTGCAAGGGCCCTTGATAAAGCTCCTGGAGAGCGAAACGTTGCCACAATAAATGTCACATTAGTTGCACTGTGTCCTTTTTACTTTACATATTGTCGGAAAATTCTACCAACTTTATTTTAATAATCTTAATAACACTCCAGCTCAATACTCTTTTAGTAAGTAAGTAAGTTTATTCAGGATACACAAATACAGTTACATAGAATTATCATATATAGCAGCATATGTGTAGAGAACCTGGGATAACCTAAAAAGTCAGACAGAGTGACTTATTTCCATTGGGGTCCTTTTACCTTTTTTATTATAATAAAAAGGGTTATAATATTTCTTATTATCTATAATGAAGAAAACATCTTATTATCATACTAAAAAAAGACTATCTACTACACGAGGGTCATTAAGACTATCTACAATACGAGGGTCATTACTAGGATAAGGAAAAAATTTACACGTATGTTAGCAAAAAAAACAGAAAATCATTCCCCTCCCTTTCTGTAGCTACTTTCATCAGACACCTTTTGGCACTCTTCTTGAACTGGTTCATGCTATGACTGGCTTGACATGTGTGGGTAGTCTGTTCCATTCCTTATTGCTGTGCAATAAAAGGTGTTTGAAGCCTTTGGCCACTGACTGTGGCTACAAACAAAGTTGTGCTCTCTCCCCCTATTTATATGATTGCTTTGGTTCCCAACCTTGACAAAATTGACAGCAAGATATTCGGGACATTGTTTGTGAGCAATTTTATAAACATATTTAGCTTCAGTTGTTTTACTCTGTCTTCAACCATTCAGCATACCCAAACTGCTGTAATTCATCCTGGCCTACAGTTCTCTTGGCCCCCCGCCCCAGGATGAATCTTACGATTTTGTCCTGGGTGATTTGCAGTCTATCTTGCAGTTTTTTTGTCAAGGCAGAGTACCAAGAAGAGCAAGCGTAATCCATATGGCATTGTATAAGGGCTAGACATAGGGTCCTGCGAGCCTCAGTAGGTAGACACTGTGCTTGTCTATACAGGAACTTCAGTCTGGCATTCGCTTTCATTACTACACTTTTTCCCTATCAATTCTCCTGACATGCATGGGTCAAAGGGGATTCCCAAATATTTTACTGATGAAACCAAAGTGATGGGCTCCCCATTACACTGGGCTGCAGAAAACAATATGAATTTCAACGATGAGAAATTTCAATTACTCAGATATGGTAAACATGAGGAAATTAAATCTTCATCAGAGTACAAAACAAATTCTGGCCACAAAATAGAGCGAAACAAACCAACGTCAAAGACCTGGGAGTGATTATGTCGGAGGATCTCACCTTCAAGGACCATAACATTGTATCAATCGCATCTGTTTAGAAAAATGACAGGATGGATAATGAAACCTTCAAAACTAGGAGGCCAAGCCCATGATGACACTCTTCAGGTCACTTGTTCTATCTAGGCTGGAATATTGCTGCACTCTAACAGCACCTTTCAAGGCAGGGGGAATTGCCGACCTAGAAAATGTACAGAGAACTTTCACGGCGCGCATAAACGGAGATAAAACACCTCAATTACTGGGAGCGCTTGGGGGTTTCTAAACCTGTAATCCCGGGAACGCAGGAGGGAGAGATACATGATTATATACACCTGGAAAACCTAGAGGGACTAGTACCGAAATTGCACACGAAAATCACTCACTACGAAAGCAAAAGACTTGGCAGACGATGCCCCACCCCCCAATGAAAAGCAGGGGTGTCACTAGCACGTTAAGAGACCATACAATAAGTGTCAGGGGCCCGAGACTGTTCAACTGCCTCCCAGCACACATAAGGGGGATTACCAACAGACCCCTGGCAGTCTTCAAGCTGGCACTGGACAAGCACCTAAAGTCAGTTCCGGCTCAGCCGGGCTGTGGCTCGTACGTTGGTTTGCGTGCAGCCAGCAGCAACAGCCTGGTTGATCAGGCGCTGATCCACCAGGAGGCCTGGTCACAGACCGGGCCGCGGGGGCGTTGACCCCCGAAACTCTCTCCAGGTAAACTCCAGGTATGTTTCGTGCCAAAGAGAATGGCTTCAGTTTTCCCGAGGTGTAATGATAGTTTGTTGTCTACTAAGGATTTGCTGCAGGACTCCAGTTCTACTATTCCAGTTTTACTATCCAAATAATACCCAGTCGTCATACACTTTTACTATTCCAGTTTTAATATCCAAATAATACTCTGTCGTCATACACTTTTACACTTATAATGAAGTATTTGTGCATAATGAAGACCTATTATTATTATAATTATAATCAAAAAGAAGCGCTAAGCCACAAGGACTATACAGCAATGAAGACCTAGCGAGGCAAAAAATCATGATCCAAAAATAGCAATACCACGGAAGATAAAACAAAATACCTTCTACACCAAACCATGGACTTAAAAACACAATTAGTTGTTGTTGTTGTTGTGGGTGTTAAGAGCCACCAAAACTTGTGCTTTATTGAGCCCTTCCTCCCGGCTGTCCTGGACAAAATATGCAGCTTAAATATGTACAGGAATTATAAAGGAAAGAATGTTCCCACCAAAAAGAAAAATGGAAACAATATTCAGGAAGGGTTGTTGAGGTGGTTCGGACATGTAGAGAGAATGGAGCGAAACAGAGTGACTTCAAGAGTGTATCAGTCTGTAGTGGAAGGAAGGCGGGGTTGGGGTCGGCCTAGGAAAGGTTGGAGGGAGGGGGTAAAGGAGGTTTTGTGTGCGAGGGGCTTGGACCTCCAGCGGGCATGCGTGAGCGTGTTTGATAGGAGTGAATGGAGACAAATGGTTTTTAATACTTGACGTGCTGTTGGAGTGTGAGCAAAGTAACATTTATGAAGGGGTTCAGGGAAACCGGCGGGCCCGGGACTTGAGCCCCTGGAGATGGGAAGTACAGTGCCTGCACTCTGAAGGAGGGGTGTTAATGTTGCAGTTTAAAAACTGTAGTGTAAAGCACCCTTCTGGCAAGACAGTGATGGAGTGAATGATGGTGAAAGTTTTCTTTTTTGGGCCACCTCCCTTGGTGGGAATCGGCCAGTTTACCTGGAGTTTCCCCTGGAAGAGTCCGGGGGTCAAGGGCCCCCGCGGCCCGGACTGTGACCAGGCCTCCTGGTGGATCAGAGCCTGATCAACCAGGCTGTTGCTGCGGGCTGCACGCAAACCAACGTACGAGCCACAGCCCGGCTGATCCGGAACTGACTTTAGGGCTTGTCCAGTGCCAGCTCGAAGACTGCCAGGGGTCTGTTGGTAATCCCCCTTATGTGTGCTGGGAGGCAGTTGAACAGTCTCGGGCCCCTGAACACTTATTGTATGGTCTCTTAACGTGCTAGTGACACCCCTGCTTTTCATGGGGGGATGGTGCATCGCCCTGCCAAGTCTTTGCTTTCGTAGTGAGTGATTTTCGTGTGCAAGTTCGGTACTAGTCCTCTAGATTTCCAGGTGTATATAATCATGTATCTCTCCCTCCTGCGTTCCAGGGAATACAGGTTTAGGAACCTCAAGTGCTCCCAATAATTGAGGTGTTTTATCTCCGTTTATGCGCGCCGTGAAAGTTCTCTGTACATTTTCTAGGTGGGCAATTTCACCTGCCTTGAAAGGTGCTGTTAGTGTGCAGCAATATTCCAGCCTAGATAGAACAAGTGACCTGAAGAGTGTCATCAGGGGCTTGGCCTCCCTAGTTTGAAGGTTCTCATTATCCATCCTGTCTTTTTTCTAGCAGATGCGATTGATAAAATGTTATGGTCCTTGAAGGTGAGACCTCCGAAAATGATCACTCCCAGGTCTTTGACGTTGGTGTTTCGCTCTATTTTGTGGCCAAAAATTTGTTTTGTACTCTGATGAAGATTTAATTTCCCTTGTTATACCATTTTCTGAGAAATTGAAATTTCTCATCGTTGAACTTCATATTGTTTTCTGCAGCCCACTGAAAGATTTGGTTGATGTCTGCCTGGAGCTTTGCAGTGTCTGCAATGGAAGACACTGTCATGCAGATTCGGGTGTCATTGCAAAGGAAGACACGGTGCTGTGGCTGACATCCTTGTCTTGTCGGAAAATTAAGGATGAGGAACAAGATGGGAGCGAGTACTGTGCCTTGTGGAACAAGCTTTTCACCGTAGCTGCCCTCGGACTTTACTCTGTTGACGACTACTCTCTGTGTTCTGTTAGTGAGGAAATTATAGATCCATCGACCGACTTTTCCTGTTATTCCTTTAGCACGCATTTTGTGCGCTATTACGCCATGGTCACACTTGTCGAAGGCTTTTGCAAAGTCTGTATATATTACATCTGCATTCTTTTTGTCTTCTAGTGCATTTAGGACCTTGTCGTAGTGGTCCAATAGTTGAGACAGACAGGAGCGACCTGTTCTAAACCCATGTTGCCCTGGGTTGTGTAACTGATGGGTTTCTAGATGCGTGGTGATCTTGCTTCTTAGGACCCTTTCAAAGATTTTTATGATATGGGATGTTAGTGCTATTGGTCTGTAGTTCTTTGCTGTTGTTTTACTGCCCCCTTTGTGGAGTGGGGCTATGTCTGTTGTTTTTAGTAACTGTGGGACGACCCCCGTGTCCATGCTCCCTCTCCATGGACACGGGGGTCGTCCCACAGTTACTAAAAACAACAGACATAGCCCCACTCCACAAAGGGGGCAGTAAAGCAACAGCAAAGAACTACAGACCAATAGCACTAACATCCCATATCATAAAATCTTTGAAATAATATTCACAGTTAGTATAGTCTTCCCCCCTTGTTCTAAACCCCGGCAGAGCCAGACACTCACAAAAGGGGAGAAGAATGATTTTTAATTTTTTAGCAAACACACATGTAAGTATAAATAAATCATTTTTTATTATTTCTAGTATATATCCTTTATAGTATAATAACAAGATATTATCTTCTTTGTAGTATAATAATAAGGTATTAAAAGGACCCCAATTCAAATTCAAATTCAAATTCAAATTCAAATTCAAAGTTTATTCTCTATAAAGATTACAATGTTGAATTTACAGAATTTGGTTGTTGTGTGGTTTACATGTAGTTAAATAATGATTACATAGTGTACCACTAGAACGCCTAGCATGGCTAGGCATTTCGGGCAGACTTAATTTAATTCATTATTTTTAAATATTACAAATTATGAGGTAAGTTAGTATTATGGCTAAGTGACTAAATACTAGTTTGTGAGTTTAGCAATGTGAATGCTTTTGGGTTTTTGGGAAAGTACATAGTTTCGTATTGGAGTAACATAGGATTCATTATTTTAAGATTGAGATTAATAATTCTGGGTGAGTGAGTGTAAGTGTGAACCACCAGGTGGTATTCGTGTTTGTTAGTTGACGGGGTTTATGAGGGAGAAAAGATGTTTTCTAATGGTAGTTTTGAAGGTGATTAATGTGTCTGCAGTTCTAGAGTTCTCAGGTAGGGTGTTCCAGATTTTTAGGGCCTTTGACACACATGAATTTTTGTAAAATTTAGTCGGACATTGGGGAATGTCGTAGAGATGTTTTGTGTCGGGGTGTTATGCCTGTGGGTTCTGTCACAACTGTCAAGAAAGCGTTTAGGTCAAGGTTGATATTGGAGTTTAAGGTCCTGTAGGTGTAGATTGCACAGTAGTAAGTGTGGATGTACTGAACAGGGAGTAAATTTTTGATCTATGAAGATGGGGGGTGTGTTTGCCAGGGATGGGATTTAGTGATTATTCTTACTGCAGCTTTTTGTTGGGTTATTATTGGCTTTAGGTGTGTTTTCTGCAGTTGTTCCCCAAGCACCAAAAAGCATAAGGTGAAGGTATGGAAAATAAGTGAGTGGTAATAGTGTGAGAAGGGCATTTTGCGGCACGTAGTATCGTATCTTGGAGAGGATCCCAACTGTTTTGGATACTTTTTTGGTTATGTGTTGGATATGGGTGCTGAAATTCGGTTGTTGTCAAGGTATAGGCCTAGGAATTTGCCCTCATTATGTCTGGTAATTAGAGTGTTGTCGATCTTAATGTTAATTTGTGCAATCTCCTTTCCCTGCTACCAAACATAATATAGTAGGGTTTTTCAGTGTTAAGGGGTAAGTTTATTGGCTGTCATCCAAGTCGATATTTTGATCAGCTCGTTAAAAATGGTGTTGAGGGTGGCAAGATTAGGGGGAGAGATGACATAGTCGTGTCGTCAGCAAAGAGAATGGGTTTCAGGTGTTGGGATACGTTTGGAAGATCATTGATGTATATTAGGAAGAGCAGGGGACCAAGGACACTTCCCTGCGGAACTCCAGTATCAAGTGGCCGTGTTGTTGATGCTGTGTCTTTAATGGTAACATACTGTTACCTATTAGTAGGTAAGATTTGAAATAAGCAAGCACATGGCCTCTTATCCGTAAGGTCAAGTTTGTGGAGTAGGATGGGCCCTGGTCTACTGTGTCAAAAGCTTTTCTTAGGTCAATAAAAATTCTAGTGGATATCCTTATTTTCCAATGCGTGTGTAAAGGGAGATCTAACATTTTTATGATTGCATCATTAGTGCTTTATTTTTCCTAAATCCAAATTGGCAGGGGTTGAGTATGTTTATCTGTTAAAATGAATATAGTCCCCCTCTGCACGAGTTTTTTCTCAAAGATTTTGGATAGCAATGGTAAGTTTGATATTGGCCTATAGTTGTTTAAGGGCTTAAGGGGTCACCACCTTTATGTATTGGTGTAAACCCTTGCCATCATGAGTATTTCGGGAAGGTGCTAGTTTCTAGTGAACTTTTTTGCTAAAAAGCAAGAAATTGCATGTGAAAGGATATGGGCCGCTCGCTTGTACAGTAATGGTGGGACATTAGACAGATTTCCCCGAGTTGTTTTTAAGTGACTTTATAATCTCGGTGACTTCCGAGGGCTCAGTTGGTGCAAAATAGAAGGAATTTGGGAAATTCCCATCTAGGTAGTCCCGGCAAAGGGCATTAGTATGTGGGATTTTAAATTTCGAGATTAGATCCTATGGTTGAGAAGAAGTCGTTTATGTTGTTAGCTGTGTCAGTGGATGTAGTGGTGTTTCATTAGGTTTAGTTAGGACAATATTCTTGTTTTTTTTTCAGTTTGTGGGTCCCTAGAATCGAGAGAGTGTTTTCCCCGGGCTTTTTTATATCTCCTCTAGTGTCCCGTGAATCTACGGAGTAATATAGTTGTTTGGCTTTCTTTATTACTTTGGGGAGAACTGATGAATAGTGTTTAAGAATATCTTTGTGTATTAAGCCCTGTCTATATTGCTTTTTATATTGGTGTTTCTTGTCAATGGATTTCAGAATGGTGCTGGTTAGCCATGGGCAACCAAACCGTTGTTTTTGTGATCTGTGTCGTTTTATAGGACAATGTTTGTTGTATAGTCTAAGTAATTTGTTAAGAAAAATGTCTGTCCAGTCCCTCAATACCATTGGCCTTGGAGAATTCTGTAGGCCAGTCAACAATCTCTAGGTCAGTTGTGAACTTCCTTATTGAGGCCTCGTCATGGAGTCTAAATGAGATTTTGTTTGTATT